GGAATCGAACTCATGCGGAAGCGGTTTTAGATTCTCAGTGCTGTGCTTTAACCCGCTGCGCCACCAGGGAGGGCCATAAAAAAATGATACTTTTTAAGTATTGCCCTTAGTTTCATATTTTCAGAACCTTAATGTAGAGCCTTAAGGCTAGTAAAATAGAAGCTCAATCTGGTACTAGTCTTTCTTCGTTTTACTTGAAACAAAAAGGAGTGTATTCCTCAGCACTGAGAAAGTAGCTATAAAATGTTTTCTTGAAACCTGAGTTTCTGAACTTTGTCTTGTCGGCTTTCAAGTGTTTGAGCCATCAGTCTTTGCCATCAACATTAGGGGCTGTTTGCTCTTAATTGACAAACCCACTCAAGTTCTGTCTTTTTTTGTGTGGATAATGGTGGACTACGCAATTTATAAGACTGGATTTTTATATATGTATGTATGTGTGTCCACATACACAGACACACCACACAGAGGGAAGAATTACTAGTGTAAGGTCGAGAAGGTGTTTGTTATTAGAAATTAAATTATAAACCTTTTAACTTTATTCTCTATATAACATGTCATGGAGAAATGTCAGATTATAATTATACCAGTTAAGGCTTTTAGACTTTGAAATTGATCATTAGACTTTTGTGGATAATAATTTTTCCTTTCTTAAGTTATGTTTCAGTTAAAATATGCATTTTTGCGTACTTGTTAGCTAATTTCCAAGAAATCTATGTGAAAGTAGAAGAACCAACCATTATTAGCCTATTTTTTACTGTGTTTGTGTTATGCACTGTTTTATAATACTGTTTTTTTTTCTCTCTTTAAATAGACACTGGAACTTCTTTATAGAATTACTAATTCACAGAATATAACAGTGATTGTCCAGAAAATGCTTGAATATCTACATCAGAGCAAAGAAGAGTATATTATTGTTAATTTGGTTGGCAAAATAGCTGAACTGGCTGAGAAATATCCTTTGCTTGGACTATAAGTCATAAAATACCATTACACAGTGACTTTAAATGAAAGTCAAATTATTTAAAGAATTCAAAGAACCAGCAATCGATTCTATTCCTGATTTTCAAGACTTTTATCAAAAACAGAAATTTGTGTAGTACTTGTTTGGTTCTTTGCATTTGGAATCTGCCTGATTCCTCCTCAAGATATTATTTCATACTCAAATTTCTTTTCTGAGTAAAAGTTCTTCAGTTTTTATTTTGGGGTCGAGTTGAGATTGTTGGTTAGGATGCTAAAAATTATTCTTCAGAGTTTCTTGTTCTGGAAATTGTAATAAGTACTTAGGAACTGCATTCATCTGCTGATTTTTTTTCATATTTTGTAAATGTGAAAGAAACTTTAAAGGTCACAAGCATATTTCATTCTCTTTGAAGTATCATCTAAATCTAAGAAAGAGAAAATGAGTAGCATTAAATCAAATCATTTTGGAAATTGCTTAAGTATTGTTTTGACCTAGCCAATGCTGCCTTAGAGCAGTAGAATTTTAGGACTGAAGAGGAGTAGATTAGAAAAGAGGTTAAGCATCTTGTTCAAATAGATATACCACAACACAGCCTTTTCCAAAGTATTGATACAGATTTCCATTGTTTGTCCTTAGCTGTGATGTTTCTTCCAATTATTTCACATCTATTTTTTGGATGATTGTTGTATTCTAGGAAAAGTGCTGGATAAAGTGATACAATAATATTGGTTCATTAAGCTTTTTTTTTTTAAAAAAAAAAAAAGATTTATTTATGCATACAGAACTGGGGTACAGACCAGAGGGTCAGGGGCGGTGAGAGGATTCACCAGAGACAGTGTGGAGCAGACAGGCAGATCAGTGAAGCACGCTGCTGAGGGGAGCAGTGAGTGGGTCAGGAGATGTCTGCCATACCATGTAGTCACCCCCCGGGTGGGGATCAAACTCATGCTCAAGTGCTTTAGCTTCTTAGTGCTGTGCTTTAAGGCCAGGTTCATTAAGCTTTTATTGAGAACCTATTTTATTTAAAACTGGAGTGTAGAATGGTTTGTCAGTTGTTAAAAGTAAAAATGCCACACTTGGTGAAGAGAGCTATTTTTTAAAAGATTGTTGCAGAAAGGGTAATTTTAGTAAGTAGCACTTGGCAGTGCACTTTTCCTTAACACTGTGGACACATATGCTCCTGATAATGCGTGGTTTATTCAGACAATGAATGCTGTGTTTTCAGTAGGAGGAGATGTAATGCATCCTGATATTCCCAATAATTTTCTTAGACTACTAGCAGAAGGTTAGTAAACTACTACATTGTAAAGATTTTAAATTTAAATGTTTTTATTACAGGCTCCTTACAAAGTCTAGTAGAAATTAAATGATATATTAATTTCTTTGTAGGTTTTGATGATGAAACAGAAGATCAACAATTAAGACTTTATGCAGTTCAGTCTTACCTCACTTTATTAGATGTGGAAAATGTGTTCTATCCACAGAGATTTCTTCAAGTTATGAGTTGGGTGAGCAGAATATATTAAATCATAAATGTTTATATCGTTACTTTTTATAAAACCTAATAGTTCCAATATGTTTTTTTTCATAAATCTTTCCATTTGCTCAGCTAACTCTCTAGCTGTAAATTTTCTTTCTCAATAGCTACTTTCTCTCATTTAACTATTGTCCATTCTTTCTCTTTACCACTTCTCTCATCTAGTCTTTTCAATATGTATATTTATTTAGATAAATGTTTATAATACATTTCTTGTGTTTTCATTGTGAACCTATGTTTGCATGTGTGAATACTCATGTATCTGTGTTACATTAGTTTTCTTTATTGTTGCATAATAGTGCTGCCACAAACTTAGTACATAGAACAACACAAATCTAATGTTTCACAGTTTTTGTGGGTCAGGAGTCTAGGCATGGCTTAGTTGGGTTCTTTGTTCTGGTCTTTCAGGGTTACAATGAAAGTATTGGTTGGGCTGTGGTGTCCTCCAAAGCTTGACTGATGAAGGATTCACTTCCGAGTGTAGTTACTGACAGGATTGTTTCTTAAGTCTGAGGAATGGGATTTAAGTTTCATACTATTGACTGCATGCTGCAGTTGAATTGCCTTCAGCCTTTCCAGTTGGGCCTTCAATGTAGATGTTTGCATCTTCAAAGCCAGAAAGGGATTTCATTTCTTTGCGAGAAGATCACAATTTTATGTAATATAATCATATATTATTACATGTATGCCATCATCTTTCTGTACTTTTTGTACATATGGGTGAGTGTTTAGGGAGGTATTTGGTGTAATTAACTGATGGGTCATAGAATATTTTTTAATATTTTATAATTACCAAATGTTATATTAACTTAAATTTTACCTTCTCTTTTTTTCTTCTTCCTGGTGTCAATATTACACCAAAGACAAGAAAATGTTCCATAAATGTCACTTAAGAAAGCACTCAATTCCAGCTGTAAGAAAAAGAATATGTAGCATAGACCAGATTGCATGTATGCAGTGTGTTCTGTGGATTATCTACATCAGAACCAGCTGATGCTTGTTCCGGATGCGTATTGTTGCTCCCTACATACGAAATCAGAACTCTAGGGCTCGATCCTAGAAATCCATATTTGTATACAACAGCTCAGGTGACTCATGCATACTAGCATGTGAACACTACTTGTTTTACTGCTTACAGAAAAATAGTAACAATATGAAAGTATAGAAACTAACAGCTGCATCTGTAAGTTCGAAGAAAGCTAACTTGTAAAGATTTGCTGCTTTATGTATTGTTAACAAAGATATAGAAGACCTTTTTGTGTTTAGTTCCCATTCTTGTGTAATTTTGAACCTAAAATGTACAATTATATCTTTACCTAATAACTTAATTATTAGTATGTGTTTAATTTAATTTAGATTAAATTCACTCCAGCTGTAGCCATTTGTAAAATATATTTTTTAAAGATTTATTTGTTTATGCATACAGAACTGGGGTACAGGACAGAGAAGTGGGAAGTGAAAGGGTTCACCAGAGACAGAGTGGGGAGCAGAACAGGCAGATGCATTGAAATACACTGCTGAGGGGAGCAGTGGGCAGGTCAGGAAAGGTCTACCATGCCATGTTGGTCACCTTTCTGCTGGAGATCGAACTTGTGCTTCAGTGGCTGTGATAGCTTCATTGTACTGTGCTTTAACCCATTGTACCACCAGGGAAGGCCCTATTTTATATTTTCAAGTATAGTTCACTGTATAACTTGAAACCTATACTTTTGTTTTCCTCATAGGTTTTAGGGGAATATTCCTACCTTGCAGATAAGGAAACACCAGAGGAAGTTATTACCAAGCTCTATAAATTACTCACAAATGACTCCATTTCTTCAGAAACAAAAGCCTGGTTAATTGCTGCTGTGATCAAGTTGACACCCCAAGTGCATTCTTGTAACATAGTTGAGAGATTAATCCAGGAATTTACTGTATCTTTAGATACTTGTATGAGACAGCATGCTTTTGAATTAAAATATTTGCACGAGAATGTTGAACTTATGAAGAGCCTGTTTCCAGTTGATAAAAGTTGTGACGATATGGTGGTAAGACATCTGTGTTCCATCTTTTTAAAAATTCCATTGTCTTCAAACACAGAATAATTTTTACATTTGTGATACATCTGAAACATCAAAATAAGTTTCTGTAACACTTACGTTGAAGGGTGGAGTTTTTCTTCTGTTAATACAAGTGACAGTTTGAGAATTTCATTCACTAGTATCCGCAACAGAAAAAGGTTCTCTTCTGTAGAACTGTAGTAAAGGCATTTATGCTTTCTGTAACAGTCTTTTCCAATATGTAACTCAAGGATTTTTTTTATTACCTTTTTTGACTTCTATGTTATAAAGCATCTTATTACTCCGCTTCCCTTGAAAATATAAAAGAAATAGTTTTCATTTTGTCTATCTCCTATCTAAATTCTTTACCACGTGGGAAACTTACCACCTAACTTCTTCCACCTACTTTCAGCCACCTCTACTTTTAGTGCTTAGTCACTTCTAATCCTTCAAAATCATGCCAGTTTCTCCTTCAGATTGGTATAAATCAGAAAACTTTCCAACGCCAGATTTATTCACATTTTTATAGTTGAGAAAAGGAGAGAGTGGACAGTATTCATTAGTTCTGTCAATAGCTCCCTAAGGGCAGAGGCCTTAAGACATTTCAGTGACTGTTCATTGAAATGGCAAATGAATACAATGTATATAGAATTAAATGAGGAAGTAACTACACTTCTCCTTTTCTCCAATAAAGACAGTGATGGCATAGCATCATCTGTTAAGATCTTATTGAAACTAAACCTTTCCAAATTCAGAGTGTGAGAGGCAGCTAATATTTGAGAGTTACCTGTTCTAAATTATCTGAGCTGATTATGTACAGTTGGCTAGATCATGAGAAGCAAATCTGTGGGTTTTTGAGGTCATCATCACTGGTATTATACTCCTGTGTATATCTTGTTTTTCTTTTCTTCCTCAATTTTAAACTATTTTTCCCTCCCCCTTTATTGCTTTGTTTAATCATTCTTTTATATTCTTTCTATTCCTATTAAAATTAAGTAATTTTTAATCAGCTTGTGAGAAAGCATTTTCAAATTCAAAGAGGATAGGATAGTAAAACATGTGGGAGACTGAATAATGGCCCATGAAAGATGGTCATATCTTAATCCCTGGAGCCTGTATGCTAAAAGAGACTTTTTAGATGTCATTAAATAAAGGATTTTGTGCTAGGCATATTATTCTGTATTATCCATGTGATCATGATACAATAAAAAGTGTCCTTATAAAATTAAGACGAGGTCAGAGAGGAGAAGGCAAAATACCAATAGTATTAGAGATAAGAGTGATGGAATTCTAAGCCGAAGAATGCTAGCAACTTCTGGACACTAAGAGACAAGGAACTTAGTCTCCCCTCGAACTTCCACAAGAAATCAGCCTTAACAACAACTTAATTTTAGTCCCCTGCAGCAGGAAACTAATATAGCTACTATAATTCATAGTATGTGTGTGTTCTCTTCTAGTAAGTAACATACTGGCTCTTGAAAGTAGGCCATATCTTAATCCCTTTGTTTCAATTAATGCATCTAAATGGATGCTCAAAAATGTGTTCTGCATTGTAGGGAAATTAATCATAATTGCAAATGACTTGTTAGGCTCTTAGCTTGGGAGGTTTGGTTATAAATGTTTCAGAAAAGTACATATTTGGCTAGAACGTCTAAGTTCTGTTTTGTAATTAAAAATTGTTTTTAGGATATTTGGGCTAAAGTTATTTGAATGTACAGTAACTATTTAGGATAAAAAAATTAATTCATAATTTTTGCTTCATTTTAATGAAGGTAGATGCTTCCCTATCTTTTCTGGATGGTTTTGTGGCTGAGGAACTCAGTCAGGGGGCAGCACCTTACAAACCTCACCACCAAAGGCAGGAGGAAAAGCTTTCTCAGGAAAAAGGTAATTTTTAATTTGGTTTATCATAGGCTAGATCATAGGGACATCATATTTAAGTCAGTTGATATTATAATCATCTAAATAACTGAGGTTGTCTCCTTTTTACTGTTATTAATTTTTTTTTTTTTTTTGCATAGAAGATCTCAGGTGTAGACCAAAAATACGAGGGTGAGAGGATTCACCAGAGATCAAGTGAGGAGCAGAACAGGCAGTATATTGACTGACATATACTGCTGTGGGAAGCAGCGGACAAGATGGGAGAGTGAGGTCTGCTATGCCATACCTGGGTTAGCGCCCATGTCTATAGTGGTGATAGCACTGAGACTTAACCCTTAAGCCACCAGGGAGGCTCCTTTTTATGATTTTTCTTTAAATCTGCTTGCGATTGGTTTACCCCAACTACATTTTTGGATATCATGGAAAGAATTTAGTCTAGTGGTATTCCCATAGTCACAGGATACATATATATATGTAAAGCACCGATGATGAGATGGTGATGCTAGGATTTTGAAAGAACTTGAAGGTGGAATTTTCTTGTTGGTCATTGTGGAAGAGGGCTAACTGATATTAACCAGAGTTTATTTGCTGGAAAGTTTCAGGAAAAAACTGGTTACTGGGAACTAGTGATCTTCATTTTCATTCTGAGCAATCATATATTAAGTGTATTGGAATATTTCCTCCAACAAAATATCAACAAAATTCAGAACAGTTAAGAAAGGGAAAAATAACTCTGTATTTAAAAAATGTAGCCTCTTAGGGGAAAAACTTATTGGTTATGATTTTGGTAAAGAGGAAATCATTAAGCTATTTCTATGGTGAATGGGAGGTATATGTAGGAATAAAGGGAGACCACTGAATATTATCTATATAGGCGATCAGAACATAAATACTGAAAAGTCAGTGCTGAAACATTTTTTTCCCCCTATTTACTAATGATTTTATTGATTGCTTATTATTTTCTAGGCTCTGTGTGAGAATCAGTTTTGAGTACAACTAAGTGTTGAGTACACTAAACATAGACTTGATACTATCTTTTTTACAGAAGTATTTCCTCTTTTAGGGGTTTTGGCACAACACTTAGCACATGTACCTAATGACCTAAAAAAAATCAGTTTTCTCTTAAAGAATAGTTTTCTTCCTGTGAGCTACTTCAATATTTATGGAATGTTTTATGGAGGGAAATTAAGTTTTAAATTGCTGCGTCTATGACTGTAGTTCATAAGAAAGATTGTGATATACTGGGCCTGATGGTCCAGGATAGGAGACATAGTTCATGGCCATATTTCCTTATTTTTCACATGTCATTAGTTGCCATAATTACATTTCAGGATTTGGGCAGGAAAGAAGAGTTAGGTTGAAGATAACAATTCTTGGTATCACCTGTCTTCTTTCTTAAAATAAGTTAAATGGTTGACACAAATATAATAGATAGCCTTGGAATTCCCCATATTAATGCATTCCTCTGCCAAGTATATTTTTCCCATAGAACCATCATTATAAATGATGATGAGTCTCAAATCTCAAATTAGTCTCTTCCTCTTTCCTCCCAAAACTATTTTTTAAAGTTCTCTAGAGTACAATTGACTATATCATAGAAAAGGAAAGTAATTATGAAACAGGACATAGCAAGTACTAAATACATACTTGAGGAATAAGTTATAAAAATTACTATCTTGGAGCCCTCCCTGGTGGCACAGTGGGTTAAAGCATAGCACTAAGAAGCTTAAGTCACTTCCGCATGAGTTTGATTCCCGCCTGCCCCGGAGGAGATCCACATGGCGCGGCCGACCTCTCCTGACCCACCCGCTGCCCTCCTCAGCAGTGTACTTCAACGATCTGCCTGTTCTGCTCTCCACTCTGTCTCTGGTGAATCCTCTCACCCTCCGCATCTCTGGCCTGTACCCCAGTTCTGTATGAATAAATAAATAAATCTTAAAAAAAAAATTACTATCTTGGAATTGAACCATCTAAAAGACAGAAAATAAAAGGGGAAATTGGGTATTTTTTTTTTGTCTAAACACTTTAAAATTCTGTACTTCAAATATCAATAAATTCTGAAACTGATCTTTATATTTTCATAAATCATTTGCAGAAAGAAGTAGCTAGTGATACTTAGTACTCTGGTAGAGTTTAAAGAATACACTTAAGGAAAATATTGTAAGATACTAAGAAGTGACAAAGAAAAACATTTAGAGGTCACTGTGGACTATTCTGTTAACACATTATTGGACTATCTTAACGGCCATAATGTTAGAAACAGCCAGAAACAGTTTGGGGAAATAGCAGTATAATTTCCTATCTGCAGAAATTATGGCTTTAAAAAAAGATTCATGTTGAAAAAATAGTAGTTGGGACATTCTTAAAAGAAAAAAAAAATAGTTGGGGTCAGTCAGAGTAGTTCAGCCAAATGATCACAATATGAAAGAACTGCAGTATGAAGTACAAGGACGGGGTCTGTATAGTCATCTAAAGGAGTGTGCATATGATCAGGGCCTCTACAGTCTCAAAGGCCACAATCAGTATTGTAAGTGTTGTAAGTCAATCAATATTGATTTATGTACTTCTGCTGAGGATACTTGTTTCTCTCTCTGGTTTATTTTAGTAACTTAACCTCCATGGACTCTGCCTCCAGCTAATGCTTTGTCTTTTGCATTCATTGTCCTTTGCCCTCATTATCTATCTGGTTAATAGCTGCCATGTATTAAGTTTCAGTTCAGCCATCTTCTTCCTTCTGACTTTTCTGTACACCATTTCTGCCTCTTGCTTTTCACATGCACACATACTCTCTTTAATACATCTAGTTAAGTCTTACAAACCTTTGACTCTTTTAGTCATTTATCACTAACAAGGCTTGGGAAATGTTCACTAAAGAATGAAGATGTTGTGATTTGAACATAATTTTAAACTTTGAGCCGTTCCAGGCCTTTGTTAGTAATGACAACTTTTATTTTTTTCTGTCAGGGTTGTAATTTTATCTGACTGTTTTCTAGAGACTTCCCCCTTCCATATTTACTCATTTTCCCCTCTTAAACTCTCTACCTCTAATTTTGAATTCTTCTGTTTAAATTCTTTGTCTCACTTGCTCTTTGACTTAAACTCTTGGTCTTTCTTTTCCTGTGCATAGGAAACATTTCTTGAGCTATTCACTCTTTTGGAAGTGTTAATCGAGAGACTGGATGACTGTCATAGATGCTATTAAAAAGAGGCCAGTATGGGGATAGAAGTTTATACTAGATAATTGGAAACTTTAACATGTTTTAGCTGGAAAGAACCCTAGAGATTTAAAAAAGTGGCTTTTACCTATGATTATAAACTAGAATCATAAAGTTCTAAAAGTTGATGTAAATTTTTGAACCCTGTTCATTTACATTTTGTATCTGAATCTCTGAAAGCTTAACTTTATATTATAAAGATCTGTGGGATTAAAGGTTTTATGAAGTCAGCTTAATTCTGGTTATCAAATCAGCACTTGGAAACTACTGAACTTGTCTGAACCCTGCACTTTACAAAGAAATTAGGTCTAATTCATACTCATAGTTAATACTTGACCTACATCAAGAACTCAGTTCTTCTAATTATTTAGCACTTTTTTCCTACTGCACATTGATTCCTTTTCTATGCCATTCAGCTAATAAATAAGCATTTATAAGTATTCTTTGGATAAGGTCCTGTCTCTTTTGGGATAGACCGTATAAAGTTTCTTGGTAATCTGGGGTAAATACGTGTCAGATTCTGCCAGTTTCCTCATTAGTAAAATTAGGATTATAACCACAGAAGTTACATTTATCTAAGATACTTAATTTAAGATGTTTTGTGTTGTGATCTAGATAGCTCGAAAAAATAAAAATGATGATTAGAATTGGGTTTAACTAAATGGCATATTAGAAAACAAAGTTGAGCTTTTGCTCTTTTCCATTAAAGACATCTGAAATGGGCAACCTAGAACTGATGATAGCTTTTTGAATATAGAAGAAGAAAGCAGAGAAGGAAGATGTTTTTTTCTTCTGTGAGTATTCGTCACAGAAGTTACATGTGAAATACGGGCATAGTTTTATTGCCTAAACTTAAGTTACATGCAGAGCAGTCTGGAAATGCCATCTCTTCCCTAGGCTGTGTACCTAGGATTCTAGTGCTCTTTTATTTAGAAAGAAGAGGAGAATGGATATTGGTTTCTGCTCTCTCATGGTAACAATGTAAATTTTCATGGCTCTGATTGGATTCATTTGCATTATAAGGCTCAAAGAAATCTGAACCTAAGTGAACTTATTCTTTATTAAGGGAGATTTCACTCTGAGGGCTCCATCAGAGTCCATTTGGCACTGGAATGTGTCCAAGAGCATTTTGTTAAGCGAAAATGGTCATCTTTTCATTCATAACTAATTTTGTACAATTGCAGTGACTTCATTGGACCTGGTTTATCAGTTGCCTTTCCTAATGAAATCCTTTCTTAGTATCTAAGGAAGGTAAAATAAAAACGAAGGATACATGGTAGATTATTTTTTTTTTCTGGTTTACAACCAGTACAAAGCAATGGTTTTGCAACACTGTATGCAATTCAGAATTTGCAGTTATTTTTGGTAAATCTTAACTGTGCTATTATTAATTTAATTATTTTATTAACTCATCTCTAAAATTTGAAAATTGTCTCTGGATTCCGTTCTTGAATTGTAAATGGCCAAACCAGGTCTTTAGCTCATAAGCAGAAAGCCAAACTCTGAACCACAAGATAGATCTTTATGTGGACTTTATCATATAAGATGACCACCAAGGAAGTCAGTGAAGTTGTTAGCACCTTAATGAAATTAAGGGATGTGCTGTGACTATACTAGGGAGGAAGAAATGTGAGGAAAGTGTGGAACTTTGCATTCCCACATCCAGGGAGGTGCTGGGCAGTGTAGGTGACATGGGTCACGTTGCTTAACTTTCCCAACAAGGTGGTTTCTTAGTAATGATGTTTCTGATACCTCTATTAATCTCAGAGGACACAGTGATTTTTTTAGGGATGTAACCCAATAATTTTTTCCTAATTTCTGGAAGCGCAGTTGGAGAAAGTCTGGTTAACCATAAGAAGAGAGTAGAGGGAGTGTATTTGGAATGAGTTAACAGTTAAACATAAAGAGAGAGTAGGGGGCAGAGAATACAAAGGGTGAATAGTATTTAATTCTTTTTTTTATGTATTTTACATCTTATTTCTTTTCTTTTTTAAAAACAGTGTTTGCTTTCTTTTCTCAGGTGTAGTCCCCATAGAATTTCCAACACCAGTTCACCTGTACACTGTCACCATAGTCTTTTGTGCTCTTCCCTCCTTCATATTTAACTCTGATTAGGGGAGTTTTAATTGCAAAGTGAAGGGGGGACCCAGTACCCAGTTACTTCAGTAGTTGGTGGTCATTTTGAATAATCTTTGCTTTGTTTTAAATATGAACCTCTGTTAATTGTTTTAAAATTCTAGTTCTCAATTTTGAACCATATGGACTCTCTTTTTCTTCATCTGGCTTCACTGGACGACAGTCTCCTGCTGGCATTTCTCTTGGTTCAGATATATCTGGGAATAGTGCAGAGACAGGATTGAAAGAGTAAGTTCCTTTCTTATTAAAATTGAACATATGGAAGTGTTTAAATGTCTTTAAGCATTCCATTTGCCTTCTTCTGCTTTGTACCATCTTGATCGTTATTTGCTTTTTTTAGGATAACTTCCAAGAAGCTACATCAGTGGTCTTTTAGTTTTCAGAGGGAGAGGCACATTAGTAATAATGTATTTTAATATAATAGCTAAATTCTGCATGACTATCTCAACTGGCTCTTTTTATTGTTCTTCAGGTGTTGATACTGTGCTGTATTTCTTTAAGAACTTATTTGCCATCTAAGACAGCATGGGATATATATATATATATATATATATATATACATATATATAGATATATATAGAATAGAATGTAGATACACATATATTTATCTAATTTTTTAAAGAAGTGTATCAAAATTTATGCACTTAGGTCAGTATTCAGATTTCTTTCTATATTGCTTATAGTCTTTGTGTCATTCTGATAAATACCTCTTATAACTCTTGTTGGAACAAACAGGATAAGATGACTGGTTTATCTGAGAATGTTTGTATACTTTGTTCAAAGTGCTTTCAGAGCTACTTTTCAGATAAGTCGAAAATTGGTGATACCTGTGTGTATGTATCTCCTGTGGAACCAAATGTTCATCCTTTTTTGGTTGACTTTGACTTTAGAAATATAGTGAAATGATTTTAGAAACATGAGTAAGTTAATACAATAAGATAATAAGTGTAAGGTACCTTGTACTATCCAGGACCTAATAAATGATTGATAAATAGTAAGTGCTGTTATAATAATTGTCTGCCATTGTTGTTATCACTATCCAAAAAAAAAAGCTGAGTTGATTAAATAAAATTGGTGATCAAGGTCAGTAATTTTGATCAATATGTTGACATAATATAAAGTAAGTAAATATGATAAAATTTTAAAGGTGACAACTTTACAAGGTGGCGTTTGAATTTTGAGTTCTCATGTTTATTAGCAAGTAATTTTATGTTTGCCTTTGCATTTGTCACTCTTACAGTGAGATGGTTTTAAGAAGTACTTATCAAAAGAATGATATATACTGATAAGTACTGATAGATTATGAGGAGTGTAAAATGATCTGCTGAATTCAATGGTATAAATTCAGATTCTCTTTTTTATCATTTTTTTCCTACTCTGTTGTCTACCTTTTTTTTTTTTTTTTTTTTTTTTTTTTTACCAGTTATTTAATTTTGGTACTCCCAGCATGGGAAGCAGTTGTGGTTGTGGGCATGCAGTAGTGTAGGCAATAGCAACGAAGTGCCCTAAACAGGAACAGAAGGATCAAGGGAAAGAGAGTTAGGAACCCTCCGAAACCCAAGGAGGAAATTTACACATTTTCTTTTACCTGTGCAACAGGTGACAGCTATCTGCTTTTCTGTAGTATTGAAGTAGGATCTGGGGAATTTGACAGGACCTTGTAAATCCTGTATGTATATATGCGCTATCTTCAGGAAAATGGCATTTGGAAATGCTGCTGAGGAATTATACATGCTGCATTTTCATGAAATGGGACATGAGGGTTGAATTTTAAATTTATTTCAAAAGAGGACTACAGCTTACACATTATTTCAGACTTGGAATCTGTGCAGTAATTGGCAAGGTACATCAACTTTATTGGCGAGACCATACTTCTGCAGTATCTAGTAACTGAGAATAAGCCAAATTTAGACTTTCTTACCTGTATATCCTGTTACAGGGCAGTACCCTACCTCAAATGGGGATTCCCAGAGCTGACTAAAAGTATATAACTAATCTTTTGAAGGTTGCTCTGCCAGAATTATATTTCATTAAATGGCCTGATTAAAAGCAAGGCAAAGTATACCATGTAAAACCAGAAGTTATATCAGAGTATTGTCAAAATCAGGCAAAGATGACACATGTTTAAAAAAATTCATTTGCAGTATGTTTTGGATCATACACACGTATTTTGTGTATGAAATAACTTTATGCTGCTGTCTTATTTATTATACTGCTTTTTAAAAAACTTTATTTAATGCATGCCAGAGATAGTTTATGTTGATAAAAAGCATGTACACAGATGAAGTAAGCTAGACAAATCTTTAAAATAGCAAAAGAGATGTAATATATATATATATGAGTAAATAAATTTAAACATCTGGAGGCTCCTTTTAGGTTCCCTTTGCCCTCTCCTATCCCATTTAACATGTTGCTAAGGGTTCAGCTTCCTGGGATGTACATTCCACATGGAATTTAGCTTACTTAATATTGAGGCATGACCTTGGGGTCAATAGTTATGGCAAGGAAAGGGAAAGAAGCAAGTTCAGGCACTGTGAGTAGTTATATGCAGTACAGTGTCAGTGACAACTTCTGCTGACCCCATGGAGAACCCTGGAACTAGAATGGCCCTTCAGAGTCACATTGATTTGGGCTCAGAGGTTCCAAGACTTCATGTTCATCAGTCACTACCCTCAGAAGAAGTTGTTCTCAGGTGAGGTGGCACTCTGAAATTGGGGCATTGCTGAAAAGATTGCATTCCCCAACATCTGTGGTAACACATCCTTCTTGAAGGAGGATCTAGGTGGAACCTTCAGCACCCACCACACCTGTCATGTTATTAAACTAATGTTTGAAACATTTATTAGTAAAACTGGGGCAGTTCCTTTTTTTTTTTCCAAAGAAAGTATATGTTTTGTTAAAAATAATGACAGACACATGGTAATCCTGCTGTGTGTATTCATGAATCCTGTGAGTTGCTACTTTTGAGCATTTTAGAGTTCTTGGGGATATTATAGTGGTTCCCATCAACCTTTTTGGATTTGCTCTTGGAGGGGCAATCAGTTTTCTTTTAAGAAAACAATTTTCTTTTAAGTTAACAATTAACCAAGTTTTTATTCTTTTATTTATTTATTTATTTATTTTAGAGATTTATTTATTTGTGCATACAGAACTGAGGTACAGGTCAGAGGTGCAGGGGCAGTGAGAGGATTCACCAGAGACAGAGTGGGGAGCAGAACAGGCAGATCAACAAAGTACACTGCTGAGCGGAGCAGTGGGTAGGTCAGGAGAGGTCTGCTGTACCAGGTGGATCACCTCCTGGGCTGGCGGGGATCAAACTCATGCTGAAGTGACTTTAGCTTCCCAGTGCTGTGCCTTAACCCGCTGTGCCACCAGGAAGGGCCCAATTCTTTTAATTTTTTTTTGGTAAAATTTATTTATTCTTGCAGGTAAGAACTAGGGTACAGGTCAGAAGTGTGGGAGTAAGAGTATTCACCAGAGACAGAGTGGGGAGCAGAACAGGAAGATTGAGTGAAATACACTGCTGAGGGGAGCAGCAGGGTGTCACTTCCCTGGCCTAAAATTAAACTTGTGCTGCAGTGGCTGTGGATAGCCTCATAGAAGCTGCGCTTTAACCCATTGTGTCACCAAGAAGGGCCAGTTTTTATTCTTTTAAAACTTAAATATTCTTATACCTGAAAGAGAGAAAAGGAGATTTTTTTGACATGTATTTTAACATTTTATTATTTTTTATTTTATAACAGTTTATTTTTACGTATTTGTGCATTTTTCCATCTCAGTTGCAATCCCTATTGGTTTCCCATCACCAAATCACCCATGTGCCATCACCATAGTCCAGTGCATTTCCCTACCCCCACCCCCATTCCTCACTCACCCCCACAAAATGTCTCAGGTATATAGCGCTTCATCATTATCATTATTTTCTCGCCTGTTCCATTATATTCCTGCTATGAGAGAAACCATCCGGTATTTTTCCTTTTCTTTCTGGCTTATTTCACTAAGCATGATCTTTTCCAGCGAAAAGGAGATTTTTGTAATGAACATTTAGCAGTAAATATTGAGGAGGAATAGATTAATTCCCAGGGTATTCTTTATTAACATTCAGATTTTCTTTCTTTACTCATTTTAAGGTTTAACTTCTTGCTTTTGTTTTTTGGCTTGTTAAGGAAAGTCAAATTGATCATTATATCAACAAAATGAATGGAATAATAATGAGTACAGATATTTCTGAATCTTTATTGTGTGATCTGCCTGTCCTGTAAGACAAACCTAAAAAAATATATTTGAACCATGACCAAGATGCTTATATGAGCTAGTGCCAAGGACACATAGTTCTGTACGGAAACAATAGAAGCAATCTTTGGCTGTTTAAGCCTGCACTTATGATTGTATTGGCCATTCCACATTCATATCTATTAACTTTTGGAACTATATGAGGTGAGTCCAGTTTCTGAATTTAGCCCTGCACTTTTTTCTTAGACGTTTAGTGTTAGATTCTGGACTCAATATTTGAATTCTAATATTTTCATTAAGCTCCCGAACTATTTTGTTAAATAACATTAAAATATTATTATTTTAATTATTCTTTAACTCAGGTATGAAACATTCCTAAAATCTTCTCCCCCCCCTTTTTTTTTTAGTAAATCAAACATCATTTCATTTTTATAGAAGTACCTTTATAAAATTAAAAATGTAGCTAGTGTTCATATTAAGAAGCTCCTTTGGATTAAAGGTAAGTTTATATATAGGAGTGGACTTGAATGATTTTTTTTGTTGTTTCAACACAGTTTTATTTCATGAATTTATGTAGGGATCCTTCATGGAATGATTATAGTTAAGAAACTTAACAGTCAATATTGATCTTTAACCTTTTAGAATGTTTTTGAAAAGGGAATGGAACCAATTATAGTATTATATTTTTAAATAGACGCAGGTGAAACTAGCAATTAATCTGGAGTTTTAAACTAAGGCTAAATTTCTCTTGCCTTAAATCCTTTGACTGGAGCATGGAGGGGAAGTTGACTGTAACTAAAATAAAATCTGGCGTAAAGAATATAACATTAAAACTGTTTTGTAAAATTATGGTGATGATGTATTTTTTAAAATGCCTCAAGAAAGTAACTAGAATGTATTTAAATTGCCTTTCTTTCATTATCAATCTCCTTAGGACAAATAGCTTGAAGCTGGAAGGCATAAAGAAATTATGGGGGAAAGAGGGCTATTTACCCAAGAAGGAAAATAAAACTGGTGATGAAACTGAAGCTCCAACTATTCCTCAGGAGAGTATAATAATGGAAAATGTAGATCAAACTGTAACAAAAAAGGATCAATCTCAACTACTTACGCAATCTAAAGAAGAGAAAGAAAAGTATCTTTTGGCATCATCATTATTTGTTGGCTTGGGATCAGAAAGTACAGTTAGTTTGGTAAGTGGTCATTAATATTCCTCGGAGAATCTATATTCATTGTTTTGACTAAGAAAAAATAAATCTGGCTCTATAAAAGCTAATGACTGTCATCTATATGTAGGTAAAATAGCTTCCCTAGCTCCATAGCCACCAGTGGCATACTTTTTATATTCCTGATAGAGAAAATCTGATTGACTCAGCTTGAGTCAGATATTCTCTGTAGTCCAGTCAGCTTAGGCAAGAGTCAGGGTCCAAATAAAGTTACAAATAGAATCTTTGGCACTTTCACTACCATGGGTGATGAAAATATTGTCAATATGATAGTTCAAAAATGTTGGTATATCTAGGGAAAAAATACTTCTTAAAATGAAATTTTAATAGTAAAAGATAAGCATTCAGTTAGTTGTCTGACAGTAAATTAGCCACAATATCACTCAGCCATTAAAAATGGTAAATACTTGCTTTATAAAGTAAAAAATTATTATGATATATTAAACAAAACAAGCAGAATATAAAATTATACATTGTTCACAGATCCTAAAAAGATAAAAATGTATTTGAACCAAGAGGAATTAGGCAAAAATGAAATTATAATACTGATTTTCAAACTTTTTATGCTAATATATCATTCTCACAGTCTAGGAGTAAAAATTTGGCATGAAAATAGTTGCTGTTTTTAAGCATCTAGGCATTTCTTGTAACCTTCTATTTGATAGAATGATGAATCTAACTAGTGCAAACTTGTGATTAAAGCTACATTTTCTTCTGTTTTATGTCATCTTCAGCTACATTTTGGTCCTGCTTGTCAATTGTTGGAACTTTCTCTTATTCCTGTTGACACCAGGCTGGATGTTATAGTACACTGTACTGTTTGCCTATGTCTCTCTCTTTTCCAGACTTGTTTCTGTCAAACTTGATTTTCCCTCCTAAGAAAAAACAAATTCAGCCTAAAAGCATTACTAAGTAGTATCTTTTAATGCTGCCTCAGTCACTCTCTGCAGTTCAGCACCAAAGTGACTGGTATCTTGGGGCTTTACATTGTTCCAGCTCATTACTGTAAGGGCACCAGCGAATGTGCTGGCACTGCTGGGACAAATTCTCAGTCGTCAGAATGTACCCAGCAGAGTGCTCCCCAGCTGATGGACTCCTGATTTGTAAATCTCTTTGCTTGTGTTCAAGGATTTCTGTCTACATACATACATACAAAGTATGTAGCTTCAGGGTGACAAGTGACATTTTTGTGATGAATTTGAAGTCAGAATGTAATTAAAGGTTTTTTTCTATTTAAGTCACGCTTAATTCTTTTTGCATCACCTTTTATACTCCTCACTCCCCTCTTCCACTATCATTAGACTAGTAAAAAACTAGCAAAAGTTTTTTTTCTAAATGTAGTATATTTTCCCATTTTATGGGACTCAATTCTGTGAGAAACTGATTTATAATATAGATGGCATCTGCAGAAAGGAGGAAAAGCAAATGAATTAAAAAAATTAGCATGTGACCTTTTACCCCCCAGCCCAAATTTTCTTCTGTCACTAGAGTGAAGCAGGTGGCATTAGCACCAACCATGTTCCATCTGTATGATACCTCCCTTTGGATGGCTGCTTTCTGTAGTAATCTTTACTTACAGTTTTTCTAATGCTTAAGGTTCTCAGTTATATAGATTAAAGCTATATTGGTGTTTCATTTTTAACTGGCTTTTATTTTTAGGTCTGTGGTCCATTTTCAGATAGTTTTTAAATATAGTTTATTAGGGTCAAAAATTTTTTCTCCCCACCTGTACCTTTAATTTCACCCTCATTTTTTAAAGATTTATTTATTTATGCATACAGAACTGGGGTACAGGCCAGAGGTGCAGGGAGTGGTGAGCAGATTCAACAGAAACAGTGGGGAGCAGAACAGGCCAAATGAAGAAATACACTGCTGAGGGGAGCAGCAGGCAGGTCAGGAGAGGTCTGCTGCACCACCATATGGATTACCTCTGGGATAGGGGATTGAACTGGTGCTGAAGTGGTTTAGTTTCTTAGTGCTGCATTTACCCACTACACCACCAGGGAGGGCCACACCTTCATTTTTTTTTAAAGATATTTTTTCTGGGTAATGAATTCTAGATTGACTTTCTTTAAATATTTTAACAAAAATGTCACTAATGTTTTCTGGAATTATATATTCTAATTGCAGATTAGACAGTGCAGCAGAAAAGATCATTAAATTTGGAAACAAAGTAATAGAAATTATAGAACATGAAACTCAGAATGCTAGATCTTGTTTGATGACATCTGAATTAAGGGGTAGGAAACAAACTCATCAGTTGCGCATTGGAAGAGTTGGTGGGGCTTTCGAAATGGAGAAGGTATGAAAAGGGAACCAGAATTCTGGTTAATGAGAGGATGTAAATGTAAAGGATGGCCACACAGTATTGAAGCCTCCAGGAGGGTGGAGACATGAAGTTAGAGTAGTCGTGGTCTGCTGCACTGATAAAGGTAACTTTGTGAGGCAAAGGAACACTTGAGCCTTCACCCTACTTAAAGTTTTGCAGACCATTCTTCAGAAGGAATAACTCAGATATGGCAAATTTGTTGTTCCCTGTCTTAAGCATCAGTAATAGAATTCTTTCCAGTTGACTTGAAGGTAAAATAAATTTTTCTTCCCTAAAGAAAACCTAATTATTATAGATAATGGAGCCAGAATTTGGACCATCACAGTGGAGGCTCTCTTAGATTCTACAAGACAATTCTAGAAACTCAAAAAATGGCACATTCACTTTTTTCATTTGTGCAGTTGTGACCTCTAGTATTCTGATTGACTTTTCACCTTATTTCATTTTCTGATTTTAAGAGAAATAAGATTTATCTAATAAACTTATGTAGCTATAAGAATTTTAGGGCTTACAGTTTTATTCATTTCTGATTCTTTGTTAATCTATGCTTTATAGATAGAATCTTAGCAAGTTAGTAATTTGCTCATTTGAAATGACACTTAAAACTCATGACTAGTAGCATGGTTTCTTTTTATATTATTGTTAAATTTTATTTTTACAGCTAGGAAAAACAGATACCACTCCTCACAAGTTCAAAAGGAAATCAAAAGTCAAGGAAACCAAAACTGAAGAAACAACCAGTGCTCAGAATACAATCTGTTCTTCCTTCAGTTCTTCGTCAGATGTGACTTATGAAGAAGGTTATTGTTTGGATAATTTTCCAGACAGAGACAAAGATTTAAAGAAATTTCCTCTCAATTCAGAATTTTTAGATTCTGAGTCACTCACAGAACTACCTTTGGTTGAAAAACTCTCAAATTGTAGGCTTTCTACACCTTCGTTATTTGCTGATAGTAACATGGAAGTTTTTCACCCTCCTGAATCCACTGCAATTGCCAGTGAGATTGCTTTAGCTTCTTCTTTGTTGGAAGAAGGAACTGAACACATGTATTCAGATCTTATGGAAGTGTGTAATAATGAAACCATATCAGTATCGTCTTACAAAATTTGGAAAGATGACTGTTTACTGATGGTCTGGTCACTTTCAAATAAAAGTGGTTTAAAGTTGGAAAGTGCTAACTTAGAAATTTCTCCTGCAGAAAATTTCAAGGTAAGACAATGAATGATTCCTTACTTCTGCCTTAAATGAGCAGTGCATACTAAATATTTCTGCTGTTGACTTAAAAAAAAAATTATTTACTTTGCATAGAGGAACTAAGGTGTAGGCCAGAGGTACAGAGGGTTGAGGGGATTCACCAGAGACAGAGTAAGGAGCCCAACAGGTGGATCTACTGCTGAGGGGAGTAGTGGGTGAGACAGTAGAGGTCTGCTATGCCATGTGGCTCAAATCCCTGGCTGAGGATCGAACTCAGGCCATAGTGTAATAGCGCTGAGACTTAACACCTAGGCCACCAGGAGGCCCCTCTGTTGTTGACTCTCTTGATGCTTTATATGTTTTTTCCACATTCTTCTCTCCTTTTAAGCAAAGAAAATTAAAGGTGCTACAGTTTTGTTTTTTTTTAAATATTTGGAGTAGAGACAAGAGAGACAACTAAACAAAATAAAAATTGCATTGAGGAATGCCATAACTATAAACTGAGTCTCAAATATAAAACACAATAGTTAATAATGTAGTCTCTTAACTCAGTTTATTTGACACTGAATCTTGCCTTCTGCTGCTTATTAGCTTTGTTACGTGACCCAATATGTAATTGTTCTCTGGGTCATTTTTCTCATGTTTAAAAATGAAGATATTAATAGTGTGTGTCTACTGCTGTGAGGATTAAGTGAGTTAATACCTGTACAGTGCTTATAGCAGTACGTGGCATGTGATGTTAACTATTTTCATTGTATATTTTGTGGTGTTTTCCTGAATTGTCTCATTCATTCTTCATAAACAGTGAGACAAAATCCTCAATTTAACAAATCAGAATACAAAGTAAGACCATTGAAGGATAACTGTGTATTCTCTTTACTTCCTTTTTCTCTCACTGATTTGCTATTCTTTATTGAGTGCTTAGGCATCAATCAGTTCTACTTCTCTACCTCTGGAAGATGGCCCTTGTGATTTCTGCAGGTATACTTAATTGCATTGCTATGGGTGGTCCTTTGTGGAATTATATTTCACAAACTGGCCCAGTTTCTTCTCTCAGCTAGAATGTGTTTAACAAGATATGACAGAGGCTGCTGACCAGGGGCAGAGGTCCCTTTGGTTTGCATTAGAGTCACTGTGGAACTTAAAAAAACAAGACAAACCCAACTGTGCTTGAACTCTACTCCGGAGCTCGAGTGTTACACTGGAGAATAAGAAGGGGGGAATGTGGGCTTTTTTTTTTTTTTTTATTAAAAAGTTTATTTTTACATCATTTAGCACATTTTTTTTTCATCTCAATTGTAATCCCCACGGGGGAATGTGGGCTTTTTTAAAAACTCCCCCACCTTTAAGAACCTGGTGCTAGCCAGATTGAGATCTGTAAGACTAGAGGTTTTTAGTCTTTTTTGTTTTTCTTAGAGGTTTTTATTGTAATGCCAGTTGTTACATAATTTTGACCTATATAATACTATTTCTTAATTATGTATGCTAGTGAATTTTTGTCAAATGAAATTGTTGGTCGTCTTCATAATATGGTTTGTTGTTAACATCTTGCAGAATATGGTTTTATACCACCTCAAAAGTTGTTTCATACCATAGTCTGTTGATATCTTCTTCAATGCATCTGTTACTTTTATTTACAGGTCACTGAGCAACCTGCATGCTACTTGCCTGTGAGAGAAGCAGAAAGCATCAAAAGCTTTCAGTATTGTGTGCAGATGGAAAAACCTTTTACAGAAGGGAATCTTTCTGGTTTTATAAATTATCAAATGATGGATGCTCATTCTGTTCAGCTTGAATTTTCAGTAAACTTATCACTGTTAGATTTCATTAGGTAAATATTTCCTAAAATGTTAAATCAAGTTATTCATTCTTTAGCAGATGTTTATTAGGCATCATCCCTGGACAGAATCCCAGTGCTTGGTACTAGGGGGAGGAAAATTCAAAAGTAGACACAGTCCCTACCTTTAGGGAGTATTTAGCCTGTGGAGAAGACATTGAACAGTCAACTGAATGCATATATAATTGTAAATTATGCTATCACGAGAAAGTGAATGTTATGAGAGATTATAATATGGGACGTTAGCTGGGGTTGATTATGGTTTTCTTGGAAAAGTTCTGAGTGAAAGAAATACTGAAAAATACTTAAAAAATATTTACATTGTAAAGATTCTGCATTTTTAAGCTTTAAATGTGTTTTCATTTATATAATTTCATAAAATTTGTTTATTAATTATGAGATCTACAAGAAAATTACTCAGTTAAAATTTTATTAAACATACATTATTTAGCATTATGCTAGGCACTGTGCAGCATTACCAAAATAACTGAGAACAATTTCTTTTCTCTCATTTAGTTTTATGTGAATATATTGTACTGTGTTCAAGCATTTTTTAAAGGAAGTCTGCCTGAACAATACAGAATACCAATGAGTATCTGTAAACTTTCTTTAACTTGCACATATCCACTGTACTTCACTATTAAAGTATTTCAGTAAGAGCATGTCTATCAGTTTGTCGAGGAGTATTCATGTACTTCATGCCATTGTGTAAGATGAAATCCAGACTGCAAAAAACTTAAATTCTGACTGTGAAAATATATGTCTAGTGAGCGTTGGTAACCTGAAGAAACACAATACATATAAAACAGACAGTCCTTCTGTATGTATTTTCAAAATCTTCTCTAGCTTAAAATCTAATTATAAAACTTGAGAAAATTCAAATGCTATAATCACACATAAATGTGTAATTTTTTAACATAAATTTGTTGAACCATTTTTAACATAAATTTGTTGAAATCCTTTCTCTTGGTCTAATTTACTGAATGTCCTGGGTCTTTGTTTTCAGACTGTTGTAAAGAGGTCCTTAAATAAGGTTTCCTTTACCATTTTGTTTTAACTTTGATGGGAAAAATCAATCCTGGCAGAAGTTGAATGAAATGATGTATTGGAACACCTGCTTTTTCTTATACTTTGTTTCACATAAAGGTCTCAGTTTTAGTAGAGTATGTAATGCTCAAATTCAAAGCATACATGAAAGCAAAGTTTTATATTTCAATGATTCATGAAATTAAAACATGGTAAACTTTTACTGAAATGACTAATATGCAGAAAAAGAAAAATTGCTTTATTGAAAAGACATTTGCAGTTTAATAATACTGCCTGTTTCAGTATTTTCAAGTTTTTGGATGATGCATTCTATTCACGTTTTTTAAAATTTATTTATTTATTTTTGAATCATTCTTCATTTTCTATATGTTTTCATCTTGGTTGTAATCCCGGTGAACTTCCCACCAATTCACACGTGTGCCATCACCATATTCCCCTGCACTCTCTCCACCCCAGTTTTGATCCCATTCCCTTCTCCACCCCCATGAAATGTCTCTGGTTTAGAGTTGTTCATTGTTCTTAATTTTTACTTTATTACAGTTGCTTCTCCCCCCCCAGTCCCTTATGCTCTTGCTATGAATGAAACCATCCGGTATTTTTCTTTTTCTTTCTGGCTTATTTCCCTTACTGCTCCATCCATGTGGTTGCAAAAGACATGAGTTTATCTTTTTTGATTTCTGAGCAGTAGTCTGACCAGTGTATGTACCACATCTTTCTAATCCACTCATCTATTTTGGGGCATTTGGGTTGATTCCACGTCTTCCCTTGTGTAAATAGAGCAGCAATAAACATGGGGGCACAGGTGTCCTTTTGATTCTGTGTTTTTGTGTCTTTAGGTAGATACCTACAAGTGGGATTGCTGGGTCATATGGAAGCTCCATTTAGCAGTTTGAGAAACCTCCAAACAGTTTTCCATAGCGGTTGTACTAGTTTTCATTATGACCAGCAGTGAGGAGTGTTCCTTTTTCTCTACATCCTTGCCAACATTTGTTGTTGTTAGTTGTTTTAAGATGCGCCATTCTCACTGGTGTAAGATGATATCTCATTGTGGCTTTAATTTGCATCTCCCTTATCACAAGTGATGTTGAACATCTGCATTTCCTCTTTGGAGAAATGTTTTTTTAGCTATTCTGCCCATTTTTTGATGGGGTTGTTCACTTTATTTTTACTGAGTTTCATCAGCTATTTGTGTTTCTTTGTGATCAATCCTTTATTATTAGTATTGGGTGCAAAAATTTTCTCCCAATCAGTGGAATGTCTCTGTTTTGTTCAGTGTCTCTTGCTGTACAGAAGCTCTTTAACTTGATGTAGTCCCAGCTGTTTATCCTTTCCTTCACTAGTCTTGCTTTGGTGTTGTATCTTTAAAGATGTTACTGAGGTATATGTCGTGTAGTGTTTTTTTTTTTTTAAAGATTTATTTTATTTGTACATACAGAACTGGGGTACAGGCCAGAGGCTCAGGGGTGGCGAGAAGCTTCACCAGAGACAGAGTGGGGAGCAGAACAGGCAGATCGACGAAGTACACTGCTGAGGGGAGCAGCGGGCGGGTCAGGAGAGGTCTGCCACGCCATGTGGGTCACCTCCGGGGCAGGCGGGAATCGAACTCATGCGGAAGCGGCTTTAGCTTTTCAGTGCAGTGCTTTAACCCACTGCGCCACCAGGGAGGGCCTGTCGTGTAGTGTTTTGCCCACATTTTCCTCTAGATATTTTTATGGTTTTGGGTCTTATATCTAGTTCTTTAATCCATTTCAAGTTGGTTTTTGTGTATGTTGCGAGGTAGTAATCTAGCTTCATTTTTTTGCACATAGCAGCCCAGTTTCCCCAGCACCATTTGTTGAACAAACTTTCTTTGTTCCATTGCATGTTATTTGCTCCTTTGTCAAAGATTAACTGTCCATAAACCTGTGGGCTTATATATGGATTTTCTATTTGAATCTACTGGTCTATGTGTCTATTCTTGTTCCCTATTCATATTTCAAAACAACTTTTGCCAGACCTAGATTTTCAGTGATTATGATTTATTCCCTTGGTTTGTTTTAAATGCATTTGTTTAGCATGATTTCATTCTTTGAAAATACATCTAATTTTTAAAAATTATTTTCAGACCATTAAAAATCTCAACTGAAGACTTTGGCAAAATGTGGTTATCCTTTGCAAATGATGTGAAGCAAAATGTAAAAATGTCAGAATCTCAAGCTACTCTGCCTTCTGCCCTAAAGACCTTACAACAGAAATTAAGACTTCATGTTGTTGACATTATCGGTTAGTAATGTTACAAAAAGACAGTCTTTTTGTTTCTTTCTCACCATCTGAATACAACTCATTTACAAGTATGAGATTTTTTAAAACTGTATTCCTGTTTTGAGTATTTTTCAGATAATGTGTTCAGATTTTAGCAAAGACATTTTTGGTAGTAAAATATACATAACAGAATTTACTATTTTAAATGTACAGTTCTGTAACATTAAGAACTTTAACAATGTTATATAGCCATTACCACCAGCATCCTAGAACTTTCATCTTCTAGAACACTGTGCCCACTACTTAATTCCCCATCCCCCTCCTTTACCACCCCTTGGCAATTAACATTCTACTTTCTATAGTTTGACTACTCTTAGTACCTCACAGAAGTGGAATCATAAAATAATTTTCCTTTTGTGATTGGCATTTTTCATATAATGAAGATCATCCATGTTGTAGCATGTGTCAGAATTTCCTTCCTTTTTACCTGAATATTGTTGCATTCTATATGAATGTACTACATTTTCCTTAGTCATCTTTTGATGGACATGGAATTACTTTCCCATTTTTGACTATTGTGAAAAGTGCTGCTGTGAATATGGGTGTCTTTAAGACCTGTTTGAGTCCCTACTTTCAGTTTGTTTTGCTAGAAGTGAAATTGCTGACTCATGGCAATTCACCACGTAAAGTTTGTAGAAACTGCCATTATTATTTTCCACAGGAACACCATTTACATTCCTGCCAGCAGTGCTGCAGGGTTCCATTTTCTCCATATCCTCACAAGCAGTCATCCTAATAGTTTGAACTTTTTCATGGTATGATTTGCATTTCCTTAATCAGTGATATTGAGTATCTTTCCATGTGCCTATTGGTATTTTCATTAGAGAAGTGTCTAATGAAGTCTTTTTGTGGTATTGTAGTAAATAATTTTTTATTTTTCATTTCCTTGTAGGTAATGAAGGGCTTCTGGCCTGTCAGCTGCTCCCATCCATCCCCTGCTTGCTGCATTTCCGAGTTCATGCTGATGTATTAGCCTTGTGGTTCAGATCTTCCTGCTCTACTCTTCCTGACTACTTACTCTATCAGTGTCAAAAGGTGATAGAGGGATCCTAGCAGAAATTCTGCTTATATTTTATTCTATAAAAGTAAATGGTTTACATAGATAAACTTATTTACCAAAGTAAAAAGAGCTCATGGTACTGCTTGTGAAAATGGGGATAAATACAAATTGTGCTTTTAAGTGTTTTCTTTGATTTTTGGTCAAGAAAGATCCCCAAAAAAGTGTATCCCTAATCTTTTACTCAGGATTGTACAGTATGTTTGGGTCCCAAAAAAGTACCTAAACTAATGTTATAAACTATTATTGTTTATATATCGCTTAGTGAAGAGGGACTAAAAATAATTTATTTTGTTACAAATTTTATAGCAAATTTATCCTAGTGCTAGCTGATCTGTAGTGAAGCCAAGTCTTAGTTCTGTGCATTAGTGAAAGATAAACATGGAATTGATAATCCCAAAATGAATTTGTATTGGATTTTTGAATGTGGTATATGCTTTTTGGTAGAAAGTATTACTTATGTTTTGTTTAAATCAGTGTTGAATTATGTTGGCACAGCACACACTACTAGTAGTTCAGGAAATCTATGAGCAAGCTGGATATTTGGAGAAAACCAGTCTGATACAGCTTTTATACCTTATTACACATTGTTACAGATAATTTGCCTATGAAATGTGTTTCCCACTTATATTTATTTTTTTTAATCAAAGTGAACTACTATGTTTTTACTTAAAGCCATTTATGAAATACTATCATAAAGAAACACAACCCTGAAGAACACACAATACTAAAGCAAACAGATAGAAAAGAACTTTTACATTAAGTCAGATCCTTGCCACTTAGGTCCTTTTGGCAAATTAAAATTTGTGATTACAATATAAGTGGCCAAACACTGTCTTGGCTTTTGAATCTAATATTCATTGGATACCACTGAAGTAACTAAGTATATCACAGTAAAATATATCAATTTCCTGTTTTAGTTGCATTGACATGGCCTCTGTCAAAATTGTCAGTGGCAAGAATAAAGAGTAAGCTAATATGCATGGTGCACCACAGGCTCGAGGTTATGCATTTAATGTTAAAAACTGAAATAGTATTTTATAAAACCTTATGGTGCTGTGGAAAATACTCACTTTTTCTGATACTTCACCATGGAGTCTATTCAGGTAATACAGTTTTAAGTGATTACATTTAATGCTTTGGTTAATTGGTACTGTTTGTCACCCAGGTGAATTCTACTTTTAGGTTATCTCATTAATCATATCTGATGAAGATGGTAAGGGAATTTTCCAAAGCTGATATGAAAATATACAGTAAAATCTTGCTATAAGAGCAGTGATAAGTGATTGGAATTTCCTGCATAGTAGGTTTCTCCTTTTGAATAGAAGATCTCCATCCTGAGGCTCCCAACAGTGTCATGGTAAAGGGAATGTGCTGTTTCTGTGGTGGACTCTGGTGGCTGACCTTACCAACTTCCTCTCTATTCCTACCTCTGTCAGTGCATCCCCAACCCACCTGATTTTGCTGCTACTTTGACAAAGAGCTAGGACACGTTTTCTCATTTTTTTAAAGGTTGTAGCTTGTGGCAAAGGATGTGCTCCACTTTTTTGTGTCCTTACTCGCCTGTGTTTGCGTGAAGACTGGGTTGAGTGGGGAGCAGTGATTGTAAGGTGTCCAGCAAACAGATGGATAGTTATTTGGGAGAGATCACAAAAAGCTGTTTGGTATTCAGTAGGGGCAGCAGTGTTTGTCAGAGAGATTGTTGGCCTACAGAATTGTCTATAAAGTTGGGAGACATGTAATGGTAGGGTAGGATGGAAGCAAGGTTTTAGGTCTGCTAAAGAGAACGTGGTATCATTTTTGTTCTTTTTGAACTCACTAAATAAAAATAGAGTAATGATTTCTACTGAAATGTTTAGTAGAATGTTTACAACTTTTATATTTTTATGATTTTAGAAACAATAGTAATAGAAAAAGGTAAATTTTAAAGAACCACGGGGCAGTAGATTCTGCTTAAACTAATTCGATGTTTTAAAAACTCTAAATCAGGTATCTCCAACCTTATTTGCATTATAGAGATGGGGCTGTGAAGTAGGAAGAATGATTTTTATGAGTAGATCAACTTTTTATCATAACATGGTCAACTGTAAAGGGCGATGGCTGGAGTAAGAGTTACGGAGGAATACTCAGCTATGTGAGTTCTGTGCTAGGCATTTTGCTGAGAATGGAGGTGGCAGCAAGTATAAATCTGTAGAAGAGTGAGGAGAGGGCAGGAATGCCTAAAGGCTAGGTGAAGCAAGAAGGATAAGCCTCCCGCCAGAATAGCCCTGTGGAGATCAGCCAGCAGGGAAGTGGCCTTGAGGAAGGGTTCTTCTAAAGAACTGCAGGTAGAAACTGAGCAATCACAAGTGCGAATGTGCCAAGCATGCCAAGCACACAGCATGTGCTCTGCACAGGAACGTTATTTTGAATGATATTGTCAACTACCAAAATATTTGCGCTGAAAATACAGTATTTTTGTTTTATTTCATGTCAGTAATATTTTAAAATATTGAACTATTTGTCTTATATTTTTGTAGATAAATGTGGTCTTTGTCTTATGATTGTGAGCCTCTGAAAGTGTACTGAGCCTATATACATGTGTTTAAGGTATCTTGCTGTGTTAAAATTTTAGGAGGGAAAAATGAAAGTGAATAACAACTTAAAAGGCATTAATTACCTTATTTTGCAGTTGAATTCTATAATTGAAAAAAACTCAGTTAAACCCATAATAAATACAAAATGGTCTATATTGTTCTTTGGTCTATACATTTATTATCCAAAAAACAGAATAAGTAATACTTCTTTTTTTTTTTTTTTAAAGATTTAGTTATTTGTGCATACAGAACTGGGATACAGGCCAGAGGCTCAGGGGTGGCGAGAGGCTTCACCAGAGACAGAATGGAGAGCAGAACAGGCAGATCGATGAAGTACACTGCTGAGGGGAGCAGCAGGCGGGTCAGGAGAGGTCTGCCTCGCCATGTGATCACCTCCGGGGCAGGCGGGAATCGAACTTATTCGGAAGTGGCTTTAGCTTCTCAGTGCTGTGCTTTAACCCGCTGTCCCACCAGGGAGGGCCCAATAAGTAATACTCTTAGTAATTTGATAGGTATTAGCCAGAAAGAGCAGATGCAGTTGAAATAGGATGAAAATAATAATTTGCTCCTTACAACCCCAAATTGGAAGCTGGTTTGATCTGCTGTTTCTGCAAGATATTCAGGAAGAACTTTGTGGACTTCAGACAGGTGAGAGCATGGATTGATCCTCAGATTACCTGTCCATGTCCCCTGCCTTCATCCTCGCCTGACCAGAGCACTCAAAGTGTGCTGTTTCTCTAGTGCCTTTTCCTTACAAATGCCTCAGGATTTAAGGAACATAGTATGTTGGATGGAGACATAGTAACTAAAGATTTTGAGTCTCCTCTGCATTGTGTATCCTAAAACACAAAGCTAAATCAGAAGTGGCATTTAAATCTCATTGATTTATGCCATTGAGACCAGGTAGTATCTAGGGGTTGATTTTGTAAGGTTATGACTGTTAGCAGTGCTATTAAAAGTAGAAGTGATCTGAGCTCGTTAATAGATCTGTTTACTCTAATTTAAAGATTAAGTCAGCACAGAAAGGGATTCTGGTGAAGATCATTAACACCAGTTTGTACCAGGTGAAAAAGAGAAAACATAACAGCTTGATGAGACCCTTACCAGCTTGAAGACTAGCTCCTTGAAAACTAGACATACAGTGTAAGAGATCTCTTAATAAAAACTATGTGATTATAGATAAAAATTATGACTTGGAGTAGGGGTACCTTTTTGCACTGTGGCTTACATTCAGTGTTTTTTATTTTTTCCACGTCAGAAGGGTAATGTGTTGACGTCGTAACAAGGTTTAAGGGAAGCACGTCTCACACAACGGTGGTTCATCATGCTTATGAACCAGAAAAGGATCTACAGTCAGTGTCTTAATGATCTTAAACCACTTGTTTTAGTATAGACATCAGTGGATATGGGACCAGCAAAATTAAAGACAGGGAGTAAGACTGATTTACCAAGTAAATTAGCATCAGCTGCTAATTTTAAAAGTCTTCGCGTAAATATATGAATATAATTGTAGGAAAAAATGGAAACAGAATAAAATGAGGTCAAGTGTCACATTTAATCCACAGCTACTGTGATTGGATTTGACACTGTTTTATGGGTGGCTAAAGTAAACCTTTTCTTAAGGATGATGATGCTTTGTATATTGCCACCAGTCTAAAAAGAGAAAGGATGCCGAAGTATGGAATACATGGAGCAGGCATTTTTAGAACCTTTTTTTTTTTTACCCCCTCTGGTTAATAGTATCCATCTTTATAAATGACATAGTAGTATCTTAAAAGTACTAGACCTAGCACATTTATGTACATACACATTTATATTATCACTTCAAGACTAACAAAAGATGTTGTTTTACCATACTCAATTCCCTGTGACATGTTTAGAAGTGTGCCATTGAAGTGGAAAATATCAGCCTAACATGCTAATTAGCTGAAGTTGGGCCATAGCCTGTAGACTGAAACTTTCAGGGAACAGCTGATAAGCACCCACAAGGCCATACACACCCTGATTCATATGCATTCCCAGATGATTGTACCCCTTGCTTTAGTCAACAAGTACTCTGTAACCTACTTGCTTGGGGCTCAGATTTTAGAGGAGATCTCTTCTGGGTCTGCCAGTGTATAGCCCACCAGTGTAAATAAAGAACTTCCTGCCCACTTCCCTGATAGAATTCTGCTGTAACACTAGAAAGAAAATCATGAAATGGAGTTTGTCTAGCCTTTGCCACTAAAGGTCACTCAGGTGATAATGAACAGCTTTAATTTGATTCTATATAGGTGTTAATTAACTTAAGGAAGCAGTTATGGAAGTGAGTTAACTAGTATTACTCAGGTTTCTAAAAAGATTCCTAATGTATGCTCTATGAATCTTCTTACACAGGGTCTGGAATCCTCTTCTGCTCCCTGTTATTTTTTTCAGCTAATAAACTTGGGACTCTAGGGGACTTTTTGATTTCTAGCTGTGGTACATGTTTGGAAGAGGCCGATTTCAGGTTATTTTAGGCCAAGATCCAGGAGACACTGGGGGAGGGGGAGTTGGCTATTGTTTGAATGTCCATATTGAATTAATTGTTGATAGGGTAGATTGAAAAACTACCTAATGTACCATTTAGTCTAAAAGAAAAACTACCCCTTATAGTTCCTTATTTCTCAACAATACCTTAAAATTAAAAAAAAAATTTTTTTTTTCTGTTATTTTTAATGGTAGTAGCTCTAGCCTTACTTTGGATAGTGAGTACCAGTGAGCAACACTTTTTAAATGCCTCCTGCTGGAGTTTTTTTCTCTCTCATCCTGTTTTCAGTGGAATCACAGCAACCCCTGGGTCCTTTTACAAAGCACAGTTGGAGCATCCAAAGAAAGAAGACAGAGTTAGGAACATTCACAAGGTATACAAGGGATAGGTAAACTACATATTTAGCAAGTTTTAAAGGTGAAGCACAGTCAGCTTATAATAGAACCTAGTAGAATTCAAGGAACCATTTCTGAGATAAACATGCTTATTCAAATGCCACAGACGCACTGTTTCCCTAAACACAGAGACTTGAGGCCCAGCAGTTTTTATGCTGGAGCAAAAGATTTGGGTCAGAATCAAAGTTTAGAGACTTTTTATTGAAGAAGTTCAAAGATTCATTGGCCAGCAGCCAAGTGTGGTCTGATTTGTTTGCATTTCCTCTGGGAACTCACAGGCAAGTAAGGAATTGGCCAGCTAACACTGTGAGGATCACCCACTCCCCTGTGGGGCCTTTTCTCCCTGGGCATTTATAAGGTGGGGGAGGAGAGCCAGGAGGAACTGTAGTCTTACAAAGGCCCAGTTCAATAGCCCAAACTGCTTTTCTCTTCTTGGTGAAGGGAACTACAATCTCACCTCACTTCAGCCCAGCATTAATTAGTACACAATAAGACCAACATCACTCAGGGTAAAAAGCCATGAGATGAGAGATGGAAAATGAAATATCACTGCTTTTCCTGATTGATGGACTTGCTCCAGGTACATAGGCATCAAGCATGTGTACTCATGGACTGTTTTTTTTAATTTGATTTGAAAAATAATATACTTTTGATAATTTGGGAAGTTAGAGAAGATGGTGCTTAACCATCTCTACCCATCTGTACATACATACCATAAAGGCCCTTCTTTTCTTGGGATTTTTATTACATTGGTAGAAATGTGGGCAGAAATAGAAAGGATACATGATTGTATCATGTGAGGAGAGGGAGTTAGGTTTAAAGTGATGGATCCTTGGACTTAATAAATCCTGACATGAGCCTGATGGCTATTGCTGAGAATTCACTGTCTCTACTACGGTCTTAACATTCTAGCAGGTGGTGGTGTAGGAATGCTGTAGATCATACATATATATACATGATAGGCATGGGATGAATGGGCACATAAGAGTGAATAAACCAAGGTGGATTCTGGGGGAAAAGGTGGAGAAGGAAGCAGCAGGAATCTATATTTCCAGCAAGACAGCAATAGCACTAGCAGAATCTATTTAATGTGATTATTTTAGAACCCTGTAATCTATTGAATAAGACTTTCAGTTTCCAGGGGATGATTTATTTTGGTTAATTTTGTCTTTGCACAGTATCAGGAACCTATTCCTGACCTCCAGGCACTTGTCAATGAGTTGTGTGTGTCTAAAGCAACTTCCACAAGCAAGAGTGGGCAAAAAATGCCCTGTCCACCAAATATTGGGGAGCTGTCTGTCCTCTGATCATTTATTACTGCTTCTGATTACAAAGATACTGATAAAGAGGAAGATTGTCAGTGTTGTAAGACCATGCTTCTCCAGCTAAATCAACTTTAAGGAGACTTAAAGGGTCATTGACTTCCTCCTTATATATATATGTATTCCCCTCCCCCCGCCCCTCCTTTTGGGAGCCAGATATTCTAGATGTAGGACATTCAAAAGCAGCTTCGTATGTGGGAAGATTAATAAGTGAGTCTGAATACCTAAGGAAGGGCATAGGCTTGTAAAAGATCTGAGAAGATCTTATGTTTACACCTCATACAGATCCTTGGCACAAGAGATAGCCTATAAGTTAACAACACACAAAAAATTAGAAAACCTTTGGAAGAGAATGTGATTTCCAGAGGTACTTCTTAGATTCATATATCTAATTTTCAACAGAATATCTCAAGGCATACAAAGAAACAGGAAAGAATGGCCTACTCAACGGAAAAAAACAATAGAAAGTCTCTGAGAGAGGCCTAATAGCTGTCATGCTAGACAGATTTTCTCTAAAGATACTCCAAAAACTAAAAAAAGAAAGTAGAGAAAGTCAAGAAAATGCTGTATGAACAAAATGGAAATACCAATATAAATTATAAGAGATACAACACCTTAAAATAAAGAAAAAATTCCAGAATTGTACAATAAGTAGAATGAAAAATAAAATCAGCGGCAGACTTGAGCTAGTAGAAGACAGTATCAGGAACTTGAAGATAGGACAATTGTCAACACACATAAAAATAGAACATTACACTCATAAGCAACTAGTGGATTAAAGAACTCACAAAGGAAATTAGAATAAATCTGGAGTGAATGAAAACAAGAACACAATACTCCAAAATTTATGGAATGCAGTGAAAGCAGTGCCAGTGGGAAAATGTCTACATAGAAGTGTATAAATAAATGCTTTTTTAAGAT